TCTAAAGCCACATACAATAATGTTATATCCTAAATGTCTGTGGTAGAAGTTCGTGTTGGATTATTATACCTCTCTTAAGTTTAAAGATGATTATGATTATGATGATTAACTTTTAGGAGCTGAAGCCACTCAAAAACACTGTACCTCTGATGGCGTAGGCCAGGAAGGCATTAGACACAGCTATCAGTCTGCCGTAATAATATTTGTGCTCCCAGTCGTACTTAGCAACAGGCTGAATCTTCACCTGAAAGAATCACAAAAAAACCCATTGAAAACAGATGAGTAACCTCTGAACAAAGTTAATAAGGAATTAAAAAACTGACAAGGCAAAGAACCTCAAAAGCTGAAGAAAGTCTAAATGATGCTTTAGATGATCTGTGTTTTTATAACTGTACAATTCCATTTTTCAACATATCATTTTCTCCAATTATATGAAAACCATATCATTTGATAAGGATATGACATTTTATGAAATGTTATAAAAAGAGAATAGGAGACTATAGCGCTCATAAAAATTAGTTCAGATATCTTTAGATAAATACTGTAGCTTATCACTTGTAAAAAAGAAAAACAAAACAAAACACCATGTTAAGTCATCACAGATACAGGGTCAGATAAAAAAAACAAAAACAAAAAAAACCAGCCACCGTCAGAAGTACTGACTGTCTCCAAATTTCTAATTTGTTCTCTTCACCAGAGCTGCCAGGTTGTAGCTGATGATTTGGTTTCTTACCTTGTTGCTGCCTCGAGCCTTGCTGTTGATGCTAGAGTCTTGGCTTGCCACAATCTCCACATTGTTAGAAGTAATTGGAATACAGGTAGAGCCATCATCACCAGAAAGGCAGCTGAAATTGCAGCACATTGATTCAGTTAAAAAAATAAAACAAAACAAAACAAACAAAAAAATTAAAAGTCCTTATAAATATGACACCACTAAGCAGGTTAAATGAGAAACTCACATTATCTGACTCTCCTGAGCACTGCTGAGATCTGTGGAGATGGGTCTTGTCGATTCTGACATAGTTGACCGATCAGTGCTCCCCAGAAGGCCTGTTCCCAATAACCCATTCAGCTCTCCATTAAAAGATGGCTTTCTACCACTTTCACTTGAATTTCCATCTGAGAAAGACAATGAAAGTAGGAGATCCAGCAGATGCAAAGAGCTTGTGTTTGTTCTGGGGCTTCCTTACCAGCTTACGTTTGACTCATCTCAGAGTCTGACGCAATCATGTCACTGATGCACAATTGTACAGTGATTTTAGACTTTACAACAAAACAATGAGTCACATGCAGTCTCATAGTGATACACACAATATTCATTACAAAGTGTAGGACAATATTTTTTTTAACCTATATTTTCAATGGCGATCTATTATGCTCATTTCCAGCACATATTTTTCTGAGGACTCTAGGCACTCTAAAATTATGCTTATTTATCTTATACAGAGCCTTGATGCAGACCCTCACTTTATTTGTCTGAAAAAAAGGCTGTTTAAGAAACCTTCCCCTCATTTGAGTCAAGTCAATGTTCTTATGATTGGCAGCTCCTCTCAAACAGAAGCATTAACAGCAGGCAAATGGGGTGCTCACAACAAGACATGTGTGTCTGAGATTACCATATTAAAAATATCCATTCCTACTGACATCATACAAAGCCTAAAGCAGACAAAACTTTCCACATGTAGATTAAACTGAGTCTTAGTAAAGAAAAGTTAAACCAAAATAATTTTTTAATCTAGGACTGGATTTAAAGTATCCCTGGGAAACAGAGCCTAAAGATTTAGACAACAAACAAAGAATTCAGGTCGTAGTATGTTATGTATTTAATACTTCTGATTCTCCACGGTTTATAAGCATTTACTAATGAAAAAGGCAGCAAAGTAAGGAGACGTTAAGGCGTAATATATGCTACTTTTCCATTCTGTTGTTACTTCAAAGTGTGCCGAAACGGTCAACAAGTAGTGTACTGGACTGAGAGTCCAATTTCTACACCTACTCCCAACATAAAATAACGAAATTGATTAGACCAAGTTTAATCAATTTATATATCTACCCCCAACATAAAATACTATGACGTAAAGATAATTAAGACTAACACAGGTGCAAGATACTGAGTTCCTAAAATCAGCATGTCTTCTTCACACTTCATGATAAAGTTGCCATGTAATACATCGCAAGTGAGACAAACAAACACACGTGAATTGGTGTTCCCAAATTAGTAAAGTAAGTCTTCTGCGCAGTTTGGGGGGGCTTGTTCACACCAGTTAAATGCCTCACATTAATTAAGGACAAAGGTATAACCACTTTTATGGCTTCGGAGTAAAAACACCAAGTACAACAGAGTTAATTTCTACTAGACGAAATATTTACCTAAGACACGCTTTTTTACACCAAAAAACAGATACACACATACGCTAAGCTCCTAACCGAGCTAACACTGAGGTTGATAAAATACTTTACGACGCAGTTAGCACTCCAACATTACGACGACCCGATACACTTTCGCGGCTCCGCGGAAATTAGTGTTAAAACAGATTCAGTGACACGCAAACTGTGTTTTCACGCAAAAGCTGCAGTTGACCCTGACTTCGTTTCAACACAACTAAGCGGCACACCACATCACGCTGGCTAAGTTATTTATTTAGCTAGCCAGCTAACTAGCATTCAACTAGCTTCTGCGGCCTAAACCAGCGCAGGCGCTTTCGCTCACGGCCCCCACTTACCGGTGCTGTTCCCGGGGCGGTCGAGCTTGAGGATGTCCCGGAGATGCTGGGTTGCACCCTCGATGTCTATATTAGTATTGGACGCCATGGGTGAGGGAAAGGGGAGCTCGGGTTTGTTCAGGGGGAAAGGATGAAATTTTGTTTCCTGCGATGCTGCTGTCACTGTTCACCCCGAGCAACCGTCTAAACTTCCGTTTCGTCCGCGCAATGGATTCCGACTTGTCATTGTGTCAGGTCAATGGTTCCCACCTCGAACGCTACTGACGTTCATTTTTTCCACGAGAAGACACAAGTCAATAACTTTGTTAGATATTTGAATTGAATTATTATTATTGTCTTTATGAAATTTTTGTATTTATTTTTTGTTAGTTTTATCAACGGCGTCGTACATAATGTCTCCTTTTAGCAGCTGTTTTTGGTTTGGTTTTGTGTTGTGACATCACGCTTTTGATCATATCAGACCAGCAAGCGGCAGCTAATAAAACCTTTATGGTCCCTAAATGTCAAAATGAGCAATACATGTATGCATGACATTGTGAGAATGACTGAAAGAGGGTTTCTCACTGAGGCTCTCTGGTGTTACAGAATCTGGCTCTTTAACTCAGGGTGTACTAAACATCATAATCTCACAATAAGACATTTCCTCAGATGACCGATAATTTCAAATTATATCTATAATTTCGTTGGGCTGGTCTTAAAACCAACCAGGATCGTGCTAAATTTGTTTTTACAATTCCTAGTGTTGTTTTTAAACATCCTTCCAAATTTAACTGAATTTTGCTAGTTTGGTTAATTGGTTATTTCTTGGTAGTAAAAACATACCGTCATTTAGACAGTGCAGACTTTAAATACATGGTTTGAAATGTGAATTTACACTGAAACTACATGGTCCCCTTTTAAAAACAAAGTCATAAAATGATGGACACTGAGCATCTAGCTGATCTTCTATTAATCATCTAAACAAGAAAAAAAAACAACCTAAAGACAAAACTAATATTAACATTTACGAAAAGTTTATAATTAAAGAGGCACCACAGCATGATATGGAAAGACAAGGTCACACCATTAAGAAAAAAAGTCCAGGTTTTATTGTGTATCGTGGCTGTAGTCCATGTTTAACTGCCAGATGTGTGTGAAAGAGAGAGAAGAGAGAGAGAAAATAAGCGGGGTCAGAGCAAAACACAGCAATGTCAACCTTTGTCATCCATGAGCAAATGAATCATGGCAAAGTTAACAGTTGTGTAAAGAAAGATAAAACTCTATTTAACACACTAAGGCGAGCTAATGTAAACACACAAGTGGCATCTAAAAACAAATATGTGAAAAGGAAACTGAAGAAGCCATCTTTGAACCTGAACATGGGACTACAAACCAGTCAACAACAGTGCTAATAGAACTGAGTTGACAGCAGTGGAGTCAACAGTAGAGTAGAATGGGTTAGAGTAGAGTAAAGAGGCGAGCAGAGCGGAGTTAATGGCATCGGTCAGCTGTTTGTCCTTCGGGTGGCTTGAGTATTGTAATGAGGGGGTTCCCAGCATCATGCAGATCAGCAGAGTGGCAGACAGGGGCGTTTGATTGGTCAGCCGGTTCTCAGCAAAGAAACACGTTGCAGTTCTACAGGCTGGGCTGGTCTGAAAACCCGTCTGGATGAGGTTCAGTGATTGACATCTAGAATCTGGTGTTTGCCTGTTTGTCAAAACAGGCGTGAATGAAACAGCCGTGAGGGAGGGATGAGCGCTCTCTCTTCTCCTCCCTCCATATTTCACACAGTGACCTTCACTATGGCTGCCCCTGCCCGCCAAAGTGGAGACGCAGGTTAACCGAAATTGTGAATGGCCAGCCTGAACATGTCATTGGTGCACACCCATGCATCGTTAATGTTCTTCAGGATGAAACTCTGATGGAAACCCATAATGGGGTCTTCATCTGCCTGCAAACACACACACAGATGACAAAGCTGTTATTGATTGAGGCTAGTTCATCAAAGGTACACATTTAGAGTAAAGAACACCTGCTACAATAAAATTATACTGTTATTCATATTGTTTTATTGAACTGGATGCCTCTGTTTCATACTGTCAGACACAGCAGAAATACACCAATGGAACAGTAAAATCAGTACAGTGTATGGTGATCAGTAAATACTCCTACAAATATCACTTTAAGAAACATTTTTGAATAGGTAGAAACAATTTTTCAGAATGTAAACAGAGACTTTGTTCACAGGAAAGCTAGCTTTGCCTTAAAAATTTCAACAGTTCTTTCTAGTGTGGTGTGTACACAGTCATCTAGATACTTGTTACTGACTAATGAGGCCAACAACAGAAATACCAGTCATCAAAATTATTGTGATTTTAATAATCTATAGCCCCAGTTAACATCTGGGTCTAGGATATGTCAGAAGTGTACATCTATTCATCTCTCTCTCCATTTCATATGCATGTCTGTGTCAAAGTAACATGCCATATAATCACTCGCCTGAAGCAATGCAGGTATGCATACCTGCAAAAGAAGCCTGCCGGTCCTAGCACTGCTAACATTAACCACACTTTGCAAACTATCCTAAAAATCTATTTTTGTATTTTTTACCATGAGATATAAAGTGTAAACTGTGGAAAGTTTAAATCTCGAATGGAACCATAAGCCTTCCCCCTTGCTGATCATTGCTTCCTGATCCAAGCAGATTTAAAGAAATGTAAATGCCTTAAATGTATTTAAAGAATAGACAACCTGTTGCTGCCTTTCTAGGCTAGGTTGTTTGTGTGACTGGTATTTTACCAAGTTAAACCAGACTATTGTCATACAGCAACTCCTGAGATAAAGTCAGTGTGTTTTGTTCATTTTTCGCTAGTGGAGTCAAGAGGCCTGTACCTCAAGCAGTTTTCCAGGTAATATCAGGGTTAACCCTGGATTTCTTTGTACAGTGAGGGTTGTAAACTCCTTACCAGTGTATATCACCATACTATGTCCAAACATTCTGAAAAATCAGTTCTCCTAAAAGCAGTGTCACCATGCTGGAAGATTTCACAGACCTCAATGAGTAGATAGGAGAGTTAAGTTTTTTTTATTAATTTTCTTTTTTTAAATGGCATCTAAAGTCCATCTTTTCTTGATAAGCCTCAGTAATGAATTTTAGGTTAGACCCAACTTTATTCTTTGATCTTTTTTGTGACCTGTAAGCAATTTTAAAATTATTTTATTGCTCCATAAGCATTAATATATGATCTACACCTATTTGCATTTGATGACCTTATATCAAATTTACACATAGATTAAGCCTACATTTGAATTCAATTTCTGTTTTTCCTATTTAATTTTTTACTCTCAGACTGTTCCGTTTATAGAATACAAACTTCCTTTTAAAATATTAATTTAATTAAATACTCAATTATGACCCATCAGATTATCCCATGTCTTAATAATAAAGTTGTAATATTGATGGGTTTGGTAACTTGCACAGGCTGTATTTTTGTCATCATTCTTTCATGGCTTCAAATAACAATAACAAAACAACAATAACAAAACAAAAATAATATAGCTGCAGTCTTCCAGTTTTATTGACTAAAGCACTTAAAGGTCATACATTGATTCTTCCTCTTTAACGCTAAACTACTGTACAGTGCTTTTCCTCTCATAGCACTGTTTTGCTGTTACTTTCAGTCTGTAATATGTATTTAACCTCTTCATATTTTTCCCCATATTATAGTCTTATATTCTTTCTTTTTTTTAAAAAATCAGACACTCTGCTGTCAGTACACTTAATCCATAATTGTGTCTGATCAAATGCTGCCAACACCATCCTATTCAAGTAGTTACAGTCTAAATTGGTAAACACTGTGTTAATAGCCCAGCTTTCTGTGATCAGTCATCCTTACTGCCATTGTTAGGGTAAGTGAATCCAGATAACACAAAGATACCCTGGGCGTGTAGATATGCTAAATACAGCCTAAAAATAAGAAAAATTACCAAATTTCCCATCACCCGAAGAACTGAAAATCCTATAAAATACTTTAGATCAAAGTGTCCCCACAGAAGCAGAACCACCCTGCTGTTTCCTAGTGGGGCTAATGTGGCTAACATAATTATTAACTTTGATCTCTCTTCCACATGCACACACACACACACACACACACTCTCATACACTCTCGAGCTCTGAGGAAAAATTAAATGTTGAGGGAAGACTATAAATTGAGCACAAATTGTGCAAGGAGTGATTTATAACCAGCAGAGAGGTACTGGGTGTGTATTTCTGAGTTTATGTGGTTTTATGCGCTTCAGTGCCAGTAAACTTAGCTGGCTTTCTGTTAGCCACGTGCATTAGTTTGCTTCTGTCCTACATCCGACACTCATTTTAACACAGCTGAACTCACAGTAAATTTTTTCTCATTTAAAAATATCTGTTATTGTTGTCGGACAACAGAAAAACTAAAATACAGACACTGACATGCACTGTTAAAGACTGAGCTCTTTAGGGAGTAAATTAGTTATACTAGAGGCATATATCATGGTTAAAAAAAACACAAATAAATAAAAATCAGAATTGTATTTTGGACCAAAACTTGAAATATACATTTAGGGGACATCTGGAACTATATTAATATTTCTTGAAGTGGCCTTTATAATCTGAACTGAATGCGGTAAATGGTTTCAAATTACTCTTAGGCATACTATATGTAATATTTGTATGGACAATGTTTCACTTCAACAATTAAATATTCCTCAATTTTTATTTTCTGAGCGCTTTCTTACTTTTAGACTTATCGACAAGTCTCATTTCTTCTCCTTAAGAAAAAGAAGAGAGAGAAAAAAAAGATCCGTAGTTTGAACCCAGTTCAGCTGAAGAGAATGAAGAAAACTGACTGGGGTACCACCAACTGCCAACATGATGGGAACAAAAAGTCAGTTGAAAGTTACGTTATCATTTACTGGATTAACATTTTTGCCTAAAAAGTGCTTCAAATCCAGTTTCTACATTAAACACACACACGCTCACACACTAAAATCTTTCTCATCATGTTCAACCTATAAAATGTAGTTTTAAATTAAGAAGCACTGATCAAATCCTGGAAGAATAAGGGAAACAACCTTATTTACTGTATAGCTCAATGTGTGACAATTTAGCTGTAAAACAGTGAATCCTGTCACGCTTCATTCAATGACATTGTGATAGTGCTACTTACTTTAAGCTGTCCTACAACCATACTCAAGATGCAGCTGTCTGGAGTTGGCTGATGGTCCTGCGCCGTTATACTATGCGCTATTTTTTGAAATGGGAGACTCTGGTCCAAACAGATAATGAAGATACACAAGAGAAAAATTAATACAGGTATATCAGGCAATGAAAACATTTACTTAAGATGTGTCTG